CCTCCCACCACGCCTTCCACGACGACCTCGCCTTCCGCGCTTGGCAGGCAATCCGGGTCTTCCCCGAAGCCCTCGCTCTCCACGTGGTCCGACTGCTCCTGGTCTACCTGGCTGACAAGGCTTGCCTTCAATTCCAGGTGGACCTGGCGGACCTGACGGTCCAACTGGTCCAGGCGCTCCAGGGTACCCAATTTCACGTTCAGCACACTTTCCGTCAGGACCTGGACTGCCGGTAACACCTGCTTCCCCTGGAAAACCTGGTTCTCCAATAGGACCCGCAGGCCCAGGTAAACCTAATCGTGTCTCCCCTGCCTTTCCAGGTTCTCCAACTAATCCTTCTGGCCCAGGAGGGCCTGGTAGACCTCGAACTCCACGTTTCCCCGCCGGACATTTTGCACAGATACCTGTATCTATTCTTCTTACGACGACTACCACGTCCATTCCACGTTCTCCAGGTCGGCCAGGCTGCCCATCTTTGCCGGGTGCTCCAAGTAACCCCGGTGGGCCACGCAACCCTGGTACGCAATTCAAAGGTGGTGATGCGCAACTACATTGCACACTTTTCTGAATGAGTGTTCCATAAAACGTCGCTCTACCGCTTCGAGGAGGTTTGAATGGGTGAACATTCATCAGATGCCACGCATTGTTTGCCAGAGTCTAAAAGGATAAACATTAAGGCTTCAATCTTCTTGATCATAAAATGTGAAAGAGTAGGAAATAACTTCTCTTACCCGAAACTCCTGCAGATTGTTGATTTCATCCTTATAGAAATTATTGATATCGTTCACGAGATAAATTACAAATAGAACACATATGACTGTTGTGAAAGCAGTGATGTAGATGATGAAATTCAGAATGGCAGTCGTCTTGATAAATGACACTGAAATTATGTAAATGTATTATTGTACAACCTTGAAAGCCCAAGGTAGTTACCTAGCCATATAAACAATTTCAAAACTCCTGCAACATACGAACACTGCTTAAAAATGAGCTCTTGCAACCAATGTGATAAATTATGGTTACCTAAAATAGGCATTATAGAACGAGCAAAGAAGAACTCATTCAGCAACTTACGGTCAATGCTTAATGAGTTTATACCTGACTTTCGGGGCAAAGACAGCATTCTTTAGTGAGTTACACTGAATGAGAGAATAACATAGATGGTTGCTGTCCATGCATTCACACATTTCTTGAAATCAACATAATTGACCCATTTTGACGAGTGTTTAAGTTCATTTTTTCGCATATGGAAGCAAATATTAAGTGAGTCGAACTAGAAAATAGCTAGTTGTACATCATTGCCACTGTTAAATATGTCAAATTCATTCATGTGTACTAAAGAGAATATCAGTATAGATAGGATATTATCAAATTACGATTAAAAGGCGATCTTCCAATGGCACATAGAGACATGACAACACCTAAAGTAGAACTTGCCTTTATATAAGTACAGTTTATGAATTAAAGCGAATCCGAATTAGTCCATACTGTTTTATAATATTATTTCTGTCTTCCCAACTAATATCTTTACTCTTACTTTATTGTCCACATCTGGAATAAGAGGCCAACTGTGGATTCAGCTTCCGGATTCTAAAGAGGGCGAGTTGTCGTAACGTTAATGTAGAAATTCACAAGAATTTTGGTTCAATAAGTTTCAGCTCAATTTAACAGAATGTTGTTGGAAGTTGCCAGAAGCTGAACTGTGAACAGCTATTAATGAGCTAGTATATCCTACGGCTCGTTCTCATTGTGACAGAAGTTGAACTTAACTGAACATTTTCTTCTCTGTCTAAACCTGCAATTTAGCTATGGGCACCATTATCATGCTTATGAGGAGCTGAGTAATCCAGTTCTACTACTGCAGGACTTCTTAGATGCAAACGGCATAAGCTATGCCAGGATAGGATATTCTCGAAGTTAAAGACGAAATGGTCTTCACCATAATCTAGAAGGTCTTTAAGATTGACCGTGGCAGGAAATCGTGAGGTCAAATTTCAAAGTTGAAGGGTTTATGAAGAAAATTGCTACGTACCAAATGCATAAGATAGGCCTCTGCGACTAACACCTTTAGCTGAAAAAGGCCTGCATTTGATTTCTTACTCTTCCGCTTACAATGAAATTCTTGTTTATTGTACAATCTTTAGTTCAGATCGTTTTCAGCAACCTCATTGTTGTTACTGATTCACATATTTTCCTTAAGTCTGGTGTCAAAGCAGTAGAGTTTTGCGAATTGTGATAATTTAAACAGCAGCAAACTTACAGATCGAATGCTATTATTACAAAGCTTTCAAACATAAAGACTTCCTTTAAGACTGCATAATTTTTTTCATATCCATTCGAGAAGTTAAAAGAAATAATTAATACAGTGGTTGCGTCAGAGGAAATTGAATGTCAAAAATTTTCCTCCTCATTTCCTTCCAAATGCCTTCTGTAACCAACAAAAGAAAGAAATACGAATATCTGTTACTTGTTAACACTGCGAATCATTCACCGTAAATTGACTAAACCAAGGTTAGTCAAAAACATTTTGGCCTGAAATACCAAAACAGGTTATGTAAACAATAAGTTACATATGTCGACAGACGACTTTTTGCATGGTCTTCGTCTATGTACATCAAATAGGAAGTGTCTATAAGTACTTCAGCAGAGCAACACTATTCAGCTATGTGTTCCTCGGTATCTGCCAATAGGAGACCCCTCACTTCAAAGTGACAGTACATCTGTATGGAAAACCCATATAACTCTCCTTGTAATCATAATTTTATTTCAATAGCTTATATATACAAAGCTCGCTGACAACGCTTACTTTACTCTTACTCAATGGAAATGCCTTTGGTCAGTGTAACTTTTCAATTAAAAAAATTAATAG